GGTGACATTGAAGAGGTTAGTACAAATAGGTCCTGATACGCTCAGAACGGTGTAGCGGACTCGGGTGAGAAAAATCCCAATAAAGTTTTACGGTCGTGTAATCATATCTCCCGATCTTGTGTTTTCATTTCGTAGTTAAAAGTGAACCTAACCTAACCTAACCTCATTCCCAGAGCTACTTTGGGCCCGAACGTGGACATACTTCCCGTTCGCCACTGTAGCCGTAGTTTTTGCTCCGAGTAGTACCATCGGACCCGAACGCGGACCCCTTCCCGTTCGATCCGGTAGTTTCCCCATCCCCCTTGCGTAGTTTGGGATTTGTGCGTGGACACCCGTCCCGCCGGATCCATTTCTCGGTAGTTTCCCCACTCCCTCGCGTAGTTTGGGATTTGTGCGTGGACCCCCGTCCCGCCGGATCTGTTCCCCGGTAGTTTCCCCATCCCCCTTGCTTAGTTTGGGATTTGTGCGTGGACACCCGTCCCGCCGGATCCATTGCTCGGTAGTTTCCCCACTCCCTCGCGTAGTTTGGGATTTGTGCGTGGACACCCGTCCCGCCGGATCCGTTCTCCGGTAGTTTCTCTATCCCCCTGCGTAGTTTGGGATTTGAGCGTGGACACCCGTCCCGCCGGATCTATTAACCTAGTGTCTGGTCTACGTAGTAGTTTGGAGACTGGCACGTGGACACCCGTCCCGGCCGGTCAGACAAGTCGAATCCCTCTGTCCCTTTACTATCCGGCCCCGCCCCTCCCAAAGTATCTTCCCGGCTCGGCCTCGCCCGAAGGTCCAGGCCGGTGGATTTTCCGCCCTCGGCGCGAGACCCAGGGCTTTACACCCGCAAAGTATTCTCCCGGCTCGGCCTCGCCCGAAGGTCCAGCCCGGTGGATTTTCCGCCCTCGACACGAGACCCAGGACTTCAACACCCGCAAAGTATTCTCCCGGCTCGGCCTCGCCCGAAGGTCCAGCCCGGTGGATTTTCCGCCCTTGACGCGAGATCCAGGACTTCAACACCCGCAAAGTATTCTCCCGGCTCGGCCTCGCCCGAAGGTCCAGCCCGGTGGATTTTTCGCCCTTGACGCGAAACACGAGACAAGGATTCCACGCGTCCACGTTTCCGTCGACACGGGCAAGAACCTCCGGTGCAGACTCCCCATTAAAATCATCTGTTCACCTGTAGAACGGAACTCTCTAGTCCGGTGTTTCGGTTATTTACAAATTTCTTGTAAAGGACTCTTGGATCCGACTGAGATCTGTACCCCGGCCGAGAAAACATCCTTACAATATAGGGTTACATGAGTATTTTAATTTATGTAGAAGTAGATAAGTAGATTTGTAGTTTATAGTTTGTAGTGGGTGGTTATTGTTGATTATTTTGTGGTTTTATTAACTTTAAAACTAAACTTAAAATAAAAAAAACCTGGCACCACCCAGATGTGGGCGGCGATAATCAAATTTCCAGTAATTTTCTCCCAGTTTAATTCCTTTCCTCGCAGACTCCCAGATTTCGAATTTGGCGCCGGAAGCTGCGAACACAAAAGCACTTTATTTTATATTTTTATACTTGAGAGGGTATTATAATTTGCAAAAGGTGCAACGCAGGAGGAGACATTGTCTATAAAGTATTATTTGAGGAACCCCTGAGTGATATAGATGGTTGTGGTCCGTTGTGCTGACAGTAGTTAAAAATATCGAATTAAATTAAGGAGGATTGGGTTTTGTATGTGGCCTGGTGTGTAGTGTTGTTTTTATTTGGAGTGCGGTAGGGGCGGTGGGGGGTTGGGGCCCTCGGGCAGGTGTAAGTTTGTTATTTAGCACAAAAGCACTTTATTTTATATTTTTTTTTATCTAAAACTTGCACTCTCACTTTGGAATTTTGTTCCCAGAAACATGACTACTTTTTCTCAGCTTCTAGATGGTTCTGATTTGCCCTTTAGTTGCCCTTCTTGTAAGTCAGCTCAATTGCCTTTTCGAGAGAGAGTTTTCCGAAATTTAAAACTATCTTGCGCCCACTATTCTACTAGTTCCGCCACGAACCAGCACGACTCCGGACCAGTTCTCCATTCCCAGGCCATCCCTAGTATCGGCATCTGTTGCTCCTCTCTAACCCAGGTACGCGGTCGTTTGGTATGTTTTGATTTTGTATAGGTTTATTTCCTTTATTTTTGGCAGACCATAACACTACACTACGGTTTCGTTTACTTGTCAATGGAACAGGAGTACAATTGAGGCTGCCAGTAGCTCAACGCAGGCCACGCCCACGCCCTGAGATATATTCGTCCTGCCGCTTTGAAAGGGTTAGCCGGGCCATTAATTGGGTACGTATTTGCACGTTTGTACATATGTACCTATGCTGCAATTATTGTTTCAAATCTTTCGCATGAAATACTCCCAATCGTTTCCCTTGTAATGTTTCCAGCTCATATAGGTTATTCCTTACGGGTCTTACTATGCGGCACTTGGAGTACTTGCGACAAAACTTGGCATTTATGTTGTTCTTGAAATCGCTGAGAATGAAGTTTCGCTTAAAGATTTCTTGGCCAGGTAGGTACTTGATTTCTTTAGCTCTTCTATTGTATTGTTTTGCTGATCTCTCATATGTTTCATTAATGCGTTCTGTTACCTTTTCTCTTATAAGTTGAAGCCGATCCGTTCGAGATAGACTCTGTATCTGGGCTTCGTTTACGGCGTCTAGTTTTCGGGCTATCCTATAATCTTGCCCGCTCAGGAACATGTGTTGGCCAAACATGGCAAAGTATGGGGAGACACCAGTGCTCTTGTGGACGGCACTCCGCAGAGAACCTTGAATCTCGACTATCTTGTCATCCCAACGTGTGTGGTCTTCCCCTACATGGATCCTAATAGCTGCAAGTACGGATTGGTTCACGCGCTCTGAGGCATTCGACTGTGGAGCATACCTGCCGGTCCTCTTATGACGAATTTGATACTTCTCCAGGAAACTTTGAAACCGGCTTGCTACAAACTGGACTCCGTTGTCGGTGAGTATTACCTCTGGAACACCAAACTCATGCAATATTTTCGACTCCAGATATCTGACGACTGCGTCTGCTGTCGCTTTTGGCATTGCTTTTAACCAAACAAACTTCGTCAGATGATCCAGCACTACCAATATGTAGCAGTTGCCCCTTTTTGACCGTGGATATTTTCCCAGGAAATCCATATACAGCTGCTGCATGGGCCGTGAGGTGATTGTTTGTTTGCCCATTTTCGGCCTAGTCATCTGGGTTGTGTGCTTGGTTTCCTTGCAGATGTTGCAGTCTTTAACGTAGTTTTTCACCTGGATTGCCATCTTGGGCCAGTAGTAGAACTGCCTAAGCCTGTTAAGCGTGCGACCTATGCCTCCATGCATCGCGGTATCGCTGTCGTGTGCTTGCTGGATTAAAGTATTTGTTAACGCTTCCGGAATCCACAGCTTCCACGGAAATTCCTGTGTGTCCCCGGTCACAAATTGTATTCGCTTGAGCAAGAGCCCGTCTTCCACCACTAAATCTGGAAACTGCTCCGCATTTTCCTTCACCGTTTGGATTCTTTCCAGATACTCGGGACTTTCAAATTCAATGGTTTCAAAATCGAACACCTCAATGGCTTCTACCTCCGGGCTACGGGACAACATGTCTGCCACCACGTTATCTTTCCCCTTCCGGTGCTCTATTTGGAAATCATATGCCTGTAACGCCAACGACCACCGCGCCAATCGTCCGTTTAGGTCTTTTAGCGTCATGAGCCATTGAAGACTGGAATGATCGGTGATGACTGTGAAGGGTAAGAGTTCTATATATGGGCGAAATCTATACACAGCTTTCACTGCGGCTAAGCACTCTTTCTCTGTCACCGTGTAGTTCAATTGAGCTCCTCGCAGCTTCTGAGAGTAAAACGCTATCGGTCTCTCATTTCCATCCATATCCTTTTGAAAGAGAACCGCACCAATACCCACATGGCTCGCGTCGCATTGGACGAAGAATCTGCTCTGAAAGTCTGGATGTATCAGCACGGGAGCTGAGGTGAGTGCTGTTTTCAGTTTGTCAAATGCCTCTTCTGCTGCAGGTGTCCACTTGAACTTGGTCTTTGACTTCAAACAGTCCGTCAGAGGCGCCGATACATCTGAAAAACCTCGAATGAATCGCCTGTACCATCCAGCTGTTCCTAGGAAACTCCTCAACTGTCTCACATTCTTTGGTACTGGGATCTTGGCTATTGCCTGAATCTTCCCTGGATCCGTCCTCAAGGACCCCTCTCCGATTACAAAACCCAGATACTTCAGGAATCGGAAGCAGAACTTGGATTTGTGTAGCCCGATCGTGAGGTTGGCGTTTTGTAAGCTCTTGGCAACTTCGGTAAGTATCCGCATATGATCCTTGAACGTTTTCGAAATAATCAACAGATCGTCTAGGTACACAAAGACGTTGCTCCTGAGCTTCTGAGGGATGACCCGGTCCATTAGTCGACATAGCCGTTGAGCAGCGTTACATAAACCAAACGGCATCCTCCGAAATTGATACAACGGCCTTCCCGGGATGGTGAATGCGGTGTACTCCCTGCTTTTTTTGTCCAGCTCAATTTGCCAGAACGCATGCTTTAAATCCACACTGCTAATGTAAATGGTTTCATCCACACGGCTCAGAATCGACTCTATATTCTGCAATGGGTAAGCATCCTTGATCGTTACCTTATTGAGTTTCCTCGCATCTAAGCCGGTTTTTCCCAGGTTTTTGGACCAGAGTAACTCTATTGTTCCATGGGCTTTCACTAGTCTCGATTACACCTAATCGCAACATTTCGTCTACTTCCGCATAGAGCAATTCCTGGACTTTTGGTGACACCGAATAGAACCTTTCCTTTACTGGGACTGTTCCCGCCTCCAGTTGTATGGAATGCGTTTCCAGTTCCGTCAGTCCCATGCCGTGTCTTTCGTAAGTTAGAAACTTATCCTGCACTAACTCCAACTGTGTTTTCTCTTCCTCAGACAGGATGTGTGGTTCTACCGGTTCGCCCGTAACATGGAACTCATTCTCAATCGACGACAATTCACCTACCCCTACGACGTCCGGAGCTAATGAAAATTTCCGCCAAAAGTCTATTCCCAAATATAGTTTTTGCCGCAGTGAGGGACATAGGAGCAATGATATGCGGTGAGTTTCCTGTTTATAGCAAACGTCCACCTCGACCCATATCCGTGTTGCACCCTGTATGTACTGTTGATCTCACTTTCAAAACTTCTAGTTTCAGCCGCTTTACCAGGTCCATACACCCGTCTCCTAGGATGCTCTTCGATGCTCCCGTGTCAAGTAGCCCCTGCATTGGATAATTTGCAACCAATACCTCGGCAAACGCTCGGTTTTCCGTCGTAGCTGCTGATATTATAGCTGTGCAGACCTCTCTTCGTTCCTGTTTTCGGTGCTGGTAACGCCTCCGGGCTCGGATTATCCTCGACGACTTGCGGGAATGGCTATCTCCCCTTGGTTCTCCAAATATCCTTTCCCTTGCCTGCTGATAGTCGCGTTCCCTCTCTTCCATAGGTCTGGCCACGTATTTTGTTCCTATATTTACCTTGTTTATGTTTTTATTTATTAATATCTTCTTAAACACTGACTTATATTTATCTTTTAACATATCTTTCAGATCCTCGGAGGCAGTTAATTCGTCGTCTTGGGATGGGAGCGGGACTCCTCCGGTTGCGTCAAGCTCCATCTCGCGTTTGCCGCCTGACATTTCGGACACCGAGTAAAACGTACTCCCTGTCGGCCGCATCTGTAGCAGAACTTATTAAGGACCTCCGAGTCGCACGTGTAATACGTGTGTCCCGGCATGGAGCAATTGTAGCAGACCAACGTACTTTGCGCTCCGCCTTCTCTGCCCCGGGAAATGGCCTCTACAAACTCGGAGTCCTCGTCTGGCTCCTGGGATACATACGCCTCGTGAACCTGGTGCTTCTCCTTCGGTGGTCTCTGGTGCTCTTGCATCCCGGATGTGCGCGACCAGCGATTGGCCAAAACCCTCTCGGCTTCGTGGCATTCCTCCCTCAGTTGTTCCAGGTTAGTTAACCACATCGGATATATTATCCTCGATATCCCGTCTCTGATGTTCACTTTAATTGTCCTTATTAGGTCGTGGTCGGATATGTTGATGTCCAACTGGGATCGGAGGCTCAGCATCGCCTGCAGATACTCATCCACGCTCTCTCCTGGTCGTTGCTTTCGCTCGCGTAGTTCTCGCTCACGCTCGAAGTTCGAACGCAGCGTTTGGAAACGTTGTTGCAGCGCGTTTTTTAGATTTGGCCAATCCCTCAATCCCGTTGTGCGTACGTGCATCCAAAACCACTCCTTGGCCTGACCATCTACCAGGCAGTGAAATGATCGAAGGACCTCTTCCCACGTGACTTGGTAAGCCATCTGTAGATGCTCTATCCGGAATATAAATTTACCAATTGGCATTCCCCTAGGTCCGCCATCGAAGGATATACCCCACTTCCTGGGATGGCTCATCTCGGGTTTGTAATCCCTACGCCCGCCACTTGGATTCCCATTCAAACTTCCGGCAGCTGAAACTCCTGGCCTAAACAAAGGCGGTGGTTGGCTATACTGATGCCAACCCGCCCATACCCTCTGTTGCTCTTCCCAGAGTCTGCCATCAGCTCGCTGCTGCGCTGGATTAGGCATGGCTGCTTCCATCGATGGTCTAGGAGGAGGCTCCTGAGTGTCTGCCTGTGCCTTCACTGTAGGGCGGACGATCTGATTGATTTCCTTCATGAAATTCATCATATCCTGTTGCATTTGCTTCTGGAAAGCAGAGACCTCAATGGACGCCGCTTTACGGTAAGTTTCATGAGCTTGTAATAGAGCTAAATTAATGGCTGACTCTATTTCTTTACCTAAATGCACAGGACTCTTCCCTTCCTCATCGCTAGTGAGATTGTGTTGGTCGCCGCGGGGAACTCCGTCGCTAGTATGTGCTTCCACGCCCCCCACTGCTCCCGTCATATCCTGCTGGTCACTAATCTCAAAGGCTGCGCTACCATCCATCATAAACCCCTGGGGAGGAGTGATATCCTTTATCTCTCGGTTCACTTTCTGATTGGCTTGGGAACGTGTAGCTGGCGGAGTCATTATTTCGGATCCGCGGTTCAAAAAAAACTCTAAACTTCTTCTAATTTTTCTTTTGAATGTCTGCCTGTTTCTTTCGCCTTCTGACATATCTTTTCTTCCCTTTTTTTTCTTAACTTTTCTGTTTTTCTCTTTTGTCTGCTAGGTAGGGTGAGTGACGAATATTTTACCCAGCCCACTGTACTTTCATATTTTTTTTTTTTTTTTTTTTCGCGCGGAGTCCCACGGCCCACTTACCCGCCCAACCGACCGAGGGGCGCAGCCGTGTATCGTACGGCACGATTCGCGATAGGATAGACGCGAGATAGGAAAATAAAGGTAAAGGTCCGGGGAAAAAAGTAATAGTTAGATCAATCTTGTGCCAATGAAGCAAGTATTAATCGTTTTAGGAGCGGCAGAGAGTCAAGATTTGATATTACAGGAAAAAGTCTATTATAGTCAGAACATAATACTCTGAAAGGCTCATGCAAGGCATAGTTAGATCTACAATGATTTAAAATTAGGGGAATATAATTTCTAGTTAATCTACTTGGCACAGAAAAGTTTAGCCGACTTAACAAGTCGGGGCAGTCAATATCACCATGTATAAGGTTATAAATAAAGATAGTACCAAGCATCGTTCTACGGTTGGCAAGGGATGGTAAATTAATCAAAAGAAGTTTACTAGAATAAGAAGGTAAGATAAGATTTGCATCCCAGTTTAGGCGCCGTAAAGCAAAGAGAAGGAAGTTTTTTTGTACAGATCTACTCCAGAATCGGACGGACTAGCGAAATAAATAAAGTTTTAGTCAAATAAGGATCATCGAATTTTTTTGACCACCTTTTAATAAATCCAAGCACTCCTCTGGCTTTATTAACCATGGACGAAATGTGATTAGAAAATTTTAGTTTAGGGTCCAAGAGAACGCCAAGATCGTTTACAAGAGTTATTCTATCCAAAGAGCTGCCACTTAACGTGTAAGTCGCGTATATCGGATTGGCCCGATAAAAAGTCATCAGCTTGCACTTGGAGCCGTTTAAATTTAGTAAATTATCTCGGCACCAGTTTTGAAAATTATCTAGATCGGATTGCAAGTCTAAATGGCAGGAAATGTCCTTATACTGCAGGCACAACTTAACATCATCTGCGTACATAAGTACGCGAGAATGACTTATAATTGAGGGAAGATCGTTAATAAATAATGTAAAAAGTAACGGACCCAGATGGCTCCCTTGTGGGACACCGGAGGTAACACGGAGAATTTCAGAAATTGAATTTTTAAAAAGGACCCTTTGTGACCTGCCATTTAGATAACTTGAAATCCATTTAAGCAGATCAACTGGAAAACCTAAAAGGTCAAGTTTATGAATAAGAAGTAAGTGATTTACAGAGTCAAATGCTTTACTAAAGTCAGTGTAAATGACATCTGTTTGAAAACTACTATTGAAGCCTTTTATCACAAATGTAGTGAGCTCTAGAAGGTTTGTAATTGTGGATCTACGTTTAATAAATCCGTGTTGACACGGAGAAATAATTGATCTGCAAAAGTGCTGCAAATGAGGAGTAATAATTTTTTCAAAAAGCTTAGGAATAGCTGACAACTTAGAAATACCTCTGTAGTTACTGGCTTCTAACTTGTTACCTTTTTTGAAAAGAGGAATAACAAATGATTCCTTCCAAATATTTGGGAATTGGGACGTTTCTAGAGATAAGGTAAACAACTTGTGAATAGGTTTGCACAGGGCCTTAGCGCAATACCTAAGCACGCACCCAGGAATACCATCGGGCCCTGGCGAATAAACAGGCTTAATACGAAGAAGATCCAAAAGAAGAGAGCTTTCTGTTAAAGTGGGACAGAATATGAGGTTTGACTTGGGCATGGTGTAAGAATAAGGCTGAGATTAATAATCTAAAGTAGAGTAAGTCGTTTGAAAAAATTGGGCAAATATATCGGCTATTGCCTGATCTGTGGTTCCCGTCATGTTTTCGAACGACAGCGAGGAAGGAAAAGAGTTAGATTTACGCTTGGTGTTAACAAAATTATAAAACTGTTTCGGGTCCTGAGAGAACTGGACCTTACAACGGTTTAAGTAACTATTATAACACTGAGCATTAAGCACGGTAAATCTTGACCGAGCACTTAGATATCTAGTAAAAACAGATTGAGAACCGGTATTTTTATATTTCCTAAAAAGTCTGGACTTTACATTTCTTAAGTGTGTCAACTCTTTGCTAAACCAAGGTGATTTATTGGAAGTTGACGGATAGTACCACGGAACACAGGAATTAAAAAATGAGTTTATTGCAGTATAAAAAACATTAACTGCATCGGACATATTATTGCATAAGTAAAGATCAGACCAATTAAAGCCAGAAATAAAATTATTAAGCCTCAGAAAGTCTGCCTTGCGAAAACAATGTATTCGTTTGGATTTTTCTGATTTTTCTTCTATAACTCTACCCGTATCAAATGAAAGTTCGATTGTTGGGTGATATGGATCTTCAGGTTGCGTGAGTGGTGCTACTCTGGACAGAAACACACCTTCAGGATTCGATACAAAACACAAATCAAGTAGGCGACCTAATGAATTTCGAACATGGTTTACTTGAGATAGAGATATGTCAAGCAGGCCATCAATAAAATCATGTTGTGCTATAGGTAGTAAGACATTCGATCCATCCTCAGTGGACCAAGTAACTCCAGGTATATTAAAATCACCTAGAACTATCAACTGATCCCTATCGGAAAGCTTATTTGCAACGGACTTAATAACGGATAGGTGATTTAAATAATCAGGAAGTTCAGACAACGGCGGAATATAAGAGCAAGTTATGTATATAAAGTTACCAGGAAGCGATAACTTTACACAAATAAATTCAATGGTATTGAATTCATCAAAAAATAACTCCTCAGACGGGAAGTTTGAATCAACTCCAATTAAGACTCCACCTCCCCGTCTAGAGGGACGGTCATACCTATATATTGTGTACTTACCTGGAAAAACTTCGGAGCTAAAGATCTCCGGCTTTAACCAGGTTTCTGTGAACACAATAATATGAGATGCAAAGGAAAGGCTATCAGAATACAATTTAGTGAGTTTGCTACGCAAACCTCTTGCATTCTGATAGGAAAGAAGGAGGTTAGAAGTTAGTTTTTTGAAATTGGTACACTGGTTTGGCCTCGACTAGGAAGTTTTACTCCTACGGGCCCCTTCTTCTTTATCTTAGCCTCGAACTCTTTTACAACCATATTATCCGGTCAAAAGTCGCCCGAGCATATGGCTTCAAAAAGCTCGTTAGGGACAGTTATCTTGAAAGATGAAATGTCTCTAGCATAAGAAAACTTAATTTTTCCACCTTTACACTATTACAATCGGCTTTAGTTTTGTCTTGTATATAAGACAATACATCAGAAGATGTTTGATCAGGGGAAAGCCGAGAAACGAAAATTTGTTTCTTTAGTGGAACCACTAAAAGGGATTTTGGTGGAGCAGACATTGTTTCTGCAAAACCAACTTGAGCCGGTTGTCCGGACTCAGTAGTCCCTTGTGGTGGTGATACTACATTCTGAGAGATAGGTGGATCCACTAATTGTGAAACCACTACGGACAAATCGGAATTATTAGAAGT